CCTGCTGTCTTCTTGTTAGTAGCTTTAATATAATAGAAGACCTTGTCTGTTTTGTAATTAACACATCTTTACTGGAGAGATATTTGGAAGTGATTGCTGTGAATATACTGGTTAGTAAAATAAACACAATCACACACCACTTTCTGTTATCAGACAAATTTGTGAATTGTACACATTATACTCCAGATCAACAAACTGTGATATAACAGCCAAGTAGAAGACACATATTTATATAACCCTTTATTTTTCTGAAAATATGTATTCACTCTGACCTTGCAAATATAATTAGCTTGTGGGATGTGCAGATTTCAGTACCATGGTTGCTTTACTAATTGCAACTCTTGGAAATAGATACTAAATATTTGGAAGCTGCCAATACAAAATAAAAACTGCATCTTTTTTGTACATCTGTCTTAGCTTATAAAAGCAAAATAGTTTTAAAAACAATACTAAGTTCCATATTTATTCCAAGCATGCCCAAGGATCAAGGACTTACTATTTCATTTTAATGATGAATCTGGCTTAGGACTTAAAACTCTTAATTATTTTCAACTACAGTTTAATCCATAATTTTTTGGCTTCTTTCATGAATATAGTACAATTTATCCAATATGCTATTTATTTTTAAATTCATGTTTTCATATCAACTGCTAGGTCACTGAAAGACTAGACAAAATTTCTAAAAAAAAAAAATTTATAGTTCCTCACTGTTATATTCAATGAAAGCTATTTTTTAAGCAAAGTTCTTCCATTAGCTTAATTGAAAGGCATTTCAAAGAAAATTACATTAAATGCTTCTACTAGTAGTTACTGTATTCTACGATCTCTCCTCTACAGTAGCAACCTTGGCATTTTCAACTGTTCATATTGAAGTCAATGACTATAGGAAGTGTTTAAGATAGGATAAGATCAATGTTTTAAGAATTTGTAGTGCATCAGGACCAGCAGATGGTGTAATGGCTATGTCGCTGGACTCCCATGTAGTCAACCACGGTTCGAGTCCCGGACCCAGTGGCTTAAACGCACACCAGGCACGGGTTCGTGCGAGCCCAGGATCCCAAGACAAGAATGGAGGAGAAGGGGTTGCGGTGTGGTCATCCCCCCTGGGGGGTGATTTCTCGCTTTCTGTCTCTGTCTCTCTCTTTCTGGCAAGCACATGTGCCCTATAGCAAAAAACTCTCAAAAAAGAAAAAAAAAAAAAAGAATTTATAATGCTTTAACTTGAAAATAAAAAACCCCCCAACAATCTAAATCTCCTATAACCTTACAGGTCAGATTACTATAATAAATATAAAATGAACTGAAATATTTTAAAAAGAAGCTTGAAAACCTCAAAATCAATGCCAAACACTAAAACAGAACAAAGTGAAAAATTCA